ATAATAATAATAATAATAATAATAATAATGAGTATAGTGGTGATGATGTATATGCTGCTGATGATGATAATAATAATAGTGCGAACCGGGATTTTTCTAATATACGAATTACATCAATAACACTGTCATTAAGCCTATCTATCTGTAATTCCATTCTTTTTTAACGACAATAAAGTCGCATCTTTTTAGAGAACATCCTCCTTTTTCAACGTTGCGTATTCCAGATGAGTTGCACAATCATTTGTGCGCATAAGCACCTCTGATGTTGGTGTCTGACGCGTATAGAAAAACAATCGTGCGTTTGACAACAATTCGCTTCTAAATTGGCGCGAACGTTCACTGCTACAGCAGAGATACTTTTTGAAGTAACGTCGATGGCGTTTACTGATCATAAATAATGTAACTGGATTGATACAAGTACTAATGTAAATCATCAGCTCAGAGATTTGTTTAAATCTGAATAACCACATTTCGTTTAATACTTCTCTGTTGAATTCTGTCAAAATTGTATGAATAAAGTAAGGCAGCCAGCAAATAGAAAACATAATTGTGATTAGTAGCAGAACCAATGAAGATCGCTTACGACGCCGAATTTGGTCATCACGATTAGATGTTTGAACTGGCATCAATTGCATACTCTTAAATAAGATACTTATAATAAGACAATAATGCACTGTTATGATTAATAGTGGAATCATATAGAGGGCGGAAAATTGAAAGATACTGTAAATTTGTCCGGATAACTCGAGTTTACCAAATCCTTCGCAGTAACTGAAGTCTCCCTCGCCTTCTGCGTGAGAGCTAATGATGTGGGGCAATGTGAACAGAGTTGCGACAATCCAGATGCTGAAAGTTATATACGATATATAACGTGACACAAAACCCCGTTCAGTTGGTGAGAATGCCTGGTATCGTTCAATGCTAAGCCATGCAAGGCTGAGAACAGAAATGCCCTGCGATAGTAATAGAAACCCTCGGAAAAATTTGCACAAAAAATCGGTCCATGTTACAGACAACTGAGAGAAAATGTACGGCAGTGTGTACGTAGGATAAGAAATAATCAACAGTAAGTCACCGACTGCTATATTGCATATTAACAGATTACGCGTATTGCGCATAGGTTCATTGCGTAATATAATGTAGATTAATGTTAGATTGCCTA